CTCTCTCTCTCTCTCTTCCTCTTTTCGGTGGATAAATTACAGGCAGTTCAACAGGTACCACCAAAACTTCCGCAACTAGTTGCCAGCTCACGGAATAAGAGATACGAAAGTGTGTGTGTGTGTGTGTGTGTGTGAGAGAGAGAGAGAGAGAGAAAGAACATTTCAATTTCAATTTAAGAGAGATGCGTTCACACCCATGAGGAATACACGAAAATGTTCGGTCATTCGTGTCAAAAATCTAATTCGCAAAAGACGTGGAAAAGCTGATGCAGCCAGTTGCAGTTGGAACAGCAACAGCAACGATTACACCAACATAACTAACTACTTTAAATTGCATCGTTGTAACGTAAACGACGAGAAGGATAGGAAGGATGGTCGAGAGAACAAGGAAGTATAACGTAGCCCTTTACGAGAGCTGTTTCAAAATTCCATCTACCTTAATGCATTTCGAAGTTTTGATTAGCCCTTCTAGAAGCTACACGATACTTCCTTCTACTAATAATCTTTCCTCCCATATTTTCTTTACCCTTCCACTTCACTCCACGAAATATCGTAGTTAGTTATTCGATTATTTTTTCGACTTACATCCAATTCTACGAATTATTTTCATTTTATTTTGAAAACCCGTGTCCCATTGATGCACGCACACGAGTAAGTAAGTATGTAATTAATTAATTAATGTATAATACGTAACACTGTGTTAATATTATCTTCGCGAAGAATTTAAAAAAATATGATTTTTAAAATATTACGTCAAATTTTTCGACTTGTTTTTAAAACAAAAAAAACAAACAATCGGATGGATCGTCATTTGAATTGTTTTTTTGTCGTTTAATTCTTTTCATCGAAAGGATAAACGTGTAATATTGCGTTTGACATAATTTACTTTTTTTTTTAACGCGTACGACATTTTTTTAACTCGTCATTTCTTTTACGAACACTTTAAATTGATACAAACCTAAAAATAAAAAACCTATTACGAACATTGTTTAATTCTATTCGAACAAATTTCATTATCAAAATATATATTTTTACGTTTAACGAGTATTCTATATTAGAAAGAAAGTTATCTTAAAATAAAGAAAAGAACAAAAAAGAAAACAAAGAAAATTGAATGATGAACATAATGTGTTATACGAACTAGAAATTGATTCGTTTAAAATCGAATGGTGGTAGAAAGGAAACAATGCTTTGAGAGTCAGTGACGAATGCGAATCTTTTGTTCAATTGGGGATGGTTTTTGTGCAAGACGCATCCAAAGAAAAAGAAGAGAGAGAGAGAGATAGAAATCCTATTATTTCGATTTCGTTGGAAACGATTGTTATAAGGAAGAACGAGGTTTCTTGATTGAATACGGTACTAGTAATAGTAAACGTTTCCTAGACTATGCTTGATAATAATTGATTTTAGGCTAGAAACGAATTTCTTTAAAAGCAAACGCATCGTTAGAAATTGGATTTACTAGAAAGGGAAAGCTATAAACTGATTAATTCCACGACGTGTCGTATCTTTAACTTTTGTCCTTTTATTTTTCAATCGACTTGTTTAAAAAAAAAAGTCAACAGGAGAGAAATACACAAAGAGAGAAAGAAAGAAAATAAGAAGAAGAAGAAGAAAAGAGAAGGGTCATCCCTTTGCCAACTTTTTCCTTTACTTCGTCGTTGGCACTTGGAACAACTCGAAAATGGTGCTGGAGAGGGGTGCTGGGGGTGGCGTGATTGAGAATGGGACGAAGATTGATGAAATTTGAGACGAAGAACGAGAGAAAGGTTTTTACGTAGAATAAGACAAATTGGAAGAGGATATGGATAAAGACAATTTACTTTGCGATAAGAAATTTACTTTAGATGTATATTATGAAAAAGATTCTTTTTTTTTTCTTTTTATCATACCTTTGGGAGATCCTAAAACAAAATGTTGTAGGTGGGATAGAGTAGAGGCTTGAAATGAAAATAAATATATAAAACAAAACAAAAAGAAAGAAAGAAAACCATAGGGGCGGGGCGGGGCGGGGKAAGAAAGGAAGATGATGAAAATTGGAGAGGAAAACAAAGAATATAAGCGGATAAGTGTAAGTGTTCGTACAAATTTCCTTCGTAAAGCGTAGGTAGTACGATACCATATACTCGTATAACACGATAATCAAGTTAAAATGTTAGCACTTTTCTCTAACCCACATAAAATAAAGTTCTAATTTAAACTTTTGTTAATGTACCTTACAACGTCTCGAAACTCTGGATAACCGCTATCACCTTGGTTCTTTCTTTTTCCCTTTTTATTCTTCTTCCATTTATTTTTTTGTTTTTTTTTCTTTTCTTTCTTTTCTATCCTCTACCGAATTTAATTTCAATGAAAATGAGATGTCTCACAAAAATATTCGGACCGTTGGTTTCTAGCGAATGCATACGAATTAACTCGATTTCGAAGTTTATATATATATATATATATCCAAAGAAGAAAAAAAGAAAAAAGGAAAAAGAAAGAGTGAGAAAAAAAATCGATCTTCAAAGCCTTTATTTTTAATTTCATTTTTTCTACCCGATAGAATTTCTTTCTAAAGACGAAAGCCTATCTCCCCTTTTATTCTTCTTTTTCTTTCTTTCTTTCTTACTTACTTTTTTCTTCGGTAAGATTTAATCACGCCTTTTAACTATTTTAATATCATATCGATCGATTAGACGAAATAGTTTTGTACGTCTTAATTAACACGACTTTTTCTTCCCTTCATATATTTTTTTCTCTTCTTTTTATCTTATTCTTTTATTCGCTTCGTTTCCTTATTCTCTAACTCTTTTCCCTCTCTCTCTCTCTCTCTCTCTCTCGTCTTTTTCAAGATAAGATAAAGGGAAAACTTTTACGAATTATTTGATATATAACTCCGACAATTTATGAATAATTTATCTTTTCAAAGAAATTTTTTTTTCCGAATCATCATCGTCTCGACACGAGACACACGATATTATTATATATTATATAATAAAACAAAATTAAAAAAAAAAAAAAGAAAAAACGCGTAATAATATACAATCATAATTTTACGATTAATCGATAACCGAGAAAAATCAGCGATTCAATCTTTTTAGATTTGTTTGTTTTTTTTTTTTTGAAATCGTCATTAACAATATGTTAAAATGTACACAAAAAATGTCAAAATTTTCATTTAATAAATGCTATAGTTCGTCGAAAAACAATCGAACATAACCGCGAAGCAGCAAATTGTGAAAAATAATTCAAATATCGATTTCTTTCGTTATCAATCGAAATGCACTCGTCCACGCACAGATAATACATACCACACATAGTCATACACTTATACACAGAGTTATATAGGTATGTGTAACTTTACGGAATGTAGTCTTTTACCGGATACTTGCAGTTCGAAAAATACAATTCGTGTTTTCTTTACTCGTTTTTTAACGTATCACTCTCTCTCTCTCTCTCTCTCTCTCTCACTCTTACTCTGTTTTTGCTCTTTCTTCTCTTCTCACCTTCTCTTGAGGCACCTCCAACGATAGCATTTTCCGCAAGGATAACTGTACGTCGGATGCATATTTTATCCCCGATATTAGAACGAACCCAGAACGGAAATGGAAATACCGATATCTGATATTGATTTCCCGCGAGCGAACTCGGCTTTTCTCTTTCTCTTTCATTTCTCTCTCTCTCTCCCTCTCTCTCTTTCTATCATCCTTTCCTTTTGTCTTTCCCCCCTTTTTATTTTTTATTTTTTTTTTTATTCATCCCGTCTTTCTTTCGCGCAAACGGAAAACCCAATTACCGATAATGGATTTAACATTTTATATTCCTTGTCTCTCGTGGGAACTACGAGTACGCACATTCGGTTACTTTAAAATACGGACTAAGATAAAAAAAAAAACTTTAAGTGTTAACAGAAAACGAAAAAAAAAAAAAAAACGAAAGAAAGAAAGAGAGAGAATAGAATAAGAAGAATAAGGGTTGGAGGTTGGGAAGGGAGGGGAGGGGGGGGGGTAAGAGAAAAGGATTGTTTTATCGGTCACACACACACACACATGTTTTCTAATAAATATTTAATAATTTGTTATATCTTGCATCGCGTAACTAAGTTTTTATTTTAACATCTATTTTTTGTTTATTTTTTTTTCTTTTTTCTTCCTGCGTATTTTCTTTACTTTATGGAAATTCGCTAAGAGATAAGAACTCTCTTCGTTCTTCGTTCTTCTTCTTCTTAATCTTCTTCATTCATTTATGTATGAATGTATACATAGATGACTATGTACACGTATATTATCTATGTACAAACTATTATCCTAGTTGATTCATGCAAATATATATCGCTTCTAAAGTGACTTTAGATGACGACGAAACTACATTCTCAAGTTATCTCGATGGGTTCGATGGTAAAATGAATGGTGAAAGAAGAAGAAGGAGGAGAAGGAAAGGAAAACGAAAAAAAAAAAAAATGTAAGAAAACTTGTACCGTCCAGTATATGATCGATGATCCATGTATTTTTAAATCGATAGACACATATGTTCTTTTTCTTTTTTTTTTTTTTTTAGTTCATCTTGTACGCGAATTTTCTAGTACCTAGGAGAATGTTACGAGTGATACGTATACGTGTATGTGTAGATACTTTTCTTCATTCTTTCCCGATTCGAAAGTTTCTATTACAAAATATTGGCTAGACGGTAAAAGATAAAATAGAAAAAGAAAAAAAAGAAAGGTACGTGTTTGTTATCGAGAAATTTCTTCTTCAGCCACCCTCGCCCCCCCCACCCCACGACCGCCCGCTCGTCCTACCCGACATTTTTATTTTCTTTATCATTGAATACACATATATAAGAAACGATAAATCGATCAATGTCGATATCGTCGATTAAATCCTTTCTACTAGATACGAGAGATAAATTGATATAATACAAAATACAACATTATGATTATTCAAATATTTCAAAATGATAAAAGAAAATAAGGGGATATTAAAAGTGTAATGAATGTTTTGTTTCGGATTGACACTTACCAGCTTTAACCATGCGTTCGTTGTTAATATCTGATTTTTTTCATCCTGTAACAGAAAATCAAATGAAATTCGTTAGTAAACGTTGATACGATTTGTGATTATACAAATTTGTTATATAACATTTTTTGGAAATAATTCTTTTGTAATTCTTTTTTTATTAAACAATTTGTTTACATTTTAATATATTATATCGCTTTAAATAAAAGATATAATAAATATTATACAGCCTGATACAAGATAATAATAATATGATGTCCTAAAACATGCTTCGATATTATGTGACATACATAAATGTATATTTTCTATAATCCTATGAACATGAAAAAAAGAATAAAAACGAGTCAGAGATGGAAACAAGATTTAAATGATAGGATTAATACTTTAATATATACGCATAATAACACATTTAAAACGTCGAACTAAATTGCAATATTTTAAATTAGTTATACAAATTTCTTGCTTCTCTCAAAAAATGAAATATTTTAATTCATTTCAATTAATTCAATGTCAAGCATACTGAAATCTACCCCGATATCTATTTAAATTATTAAAAAAAGTAATAATTGAATTATATTCTTTATGTATATCGATGACATTCAACAAACACACACACACATATGAAACACACGTCCAATGTATATGCATAAGCATGAACGTAGCAATAAACGTGCTTTCATCGAGAGATTATCTGAAATTTGATCGAACAGTACTTGGATATAAACATGCACACACATTTAATACGCGTATACTACATAAATATTATGTAAATGAGCGTATATACATTTTCCAAACGAAATTATAAAAGATAGGAGGAATAATAAAAGAAAGAGAATGTACGATACACAAACAAATACATGCAAATATTGTACATAGGTATAGGTACAATGTACATATCTACCAATCATATCAATGAAAAGACACATATTGCGTGTTTGATGATAATATAGAAACGCAAGCTCGTATGCGTATGCATGAGAATGTACAATGAGAGAATGCAAGAAGACACTACGAGAAAATATTTATTCGTTAAATGAACAAAATCGTGAAATGATCCACGCGATAGAACAATGTACCGTTGTATTCGTTGGCACGCGCAAATATAATAACTTTGTACGATAATCAACATGATTCTTCACTTACTCTTCATCTCTTTTTATCTTTTTGTTAATTCCACGACGTTTTCTATGAATAATAATAATAATAATAATATTTATAATATCTGATAATATTAATTTTGTCTTAAGAAAGAAGAAAAATAAATATATCATATATTTGTATAATTAATTATATAAGTATCATTATAATTATAATTAGAAATAGATTTATATTTTTAAAGACAATATATAAGATAGTTCACAAGTCATCTGAAAAAAAAAAATGCATCACCGTTCTAAACAGACTTATTTAATTTCCAAATCTGAAATCATACGGATAACATTTATTTTCTCGTTCTTTTTTTTGTTTTGTTTAAAAACAGCTCTCTCTATTCGTTCCCTCTTTTTTTTTTTTCATCGTATTATAAAAATATTTTTCAACCATTTTCCGTTTGTTCAGGTACGTGCATATATGAATATCGACGCTTACGGATAAAATATCAACTTTTTATCGTCCCTTTAAAACATGATTCGAATTGCCAATGCAGCTGAATATATCTCTGGGATTATTTTTTTTTTTTTATCTCTAACGTAAAGTTTTTCGTATCTCTCTCTCTCTCTCTCTCTCCTTCTATCACTAACCAAATATCTGTATAATTTCCCTTCTGCGAATGAATCTCTTTTTAAGTCTTTTTAAATAATATAATGTCATACGAACGTTTTTATAATACTATGATAAAATCTGAGATCACGTTTTCGACTATCATCGGAAATGTATATACGTAATTATAATATGCGATAAAATAAATACACACTTCCATTTATTTGCACAATACTTTTTCAATATAATTGTAGTCAGTATTTTATAAAATAAATGAAAAGCCCACATATATATATACTTTAATTTAATATAAGTTTCATTAAAATCTATTCACTTTTAGTATAAAAAATACTTATCAAAACTTTTCAAAGAAATTGCAAAGATTCACAATTTACAGCATTGCATTCTCTGACATTTTCTGAACTTTACATGCTAAATTTATAACTCGATATGGTGTTCTACGCGTAGACAAAAGAGTGTATTTTAATTTAATGTAAGTTTTATTAAAATCTATTCACTTTTAGTATAAAAAATATTTATCAAAACTTTTCAAAGAAATAGCAAAATTGTACAATTTATAGCATTGCAATCTCTGATATTTCTTTGAAAAGTTTTTGGGGGGGAAGGGTTGCGTATGGCTGTGTATGTCTGTGCCCGAGAATGTATTCTTTTCAACGTTGTTTAAATAGTAATTTGATATTCTATTGAATATCAAAGTACTATGTTGAATGCTTAGGAAAAACTGTAAGAATTCTTCTGTTTCCGACTTCATCGGAATGCTCTTTGCATTGATGAGAATGCCAAACAATTACTAACAATGGCGGATTTCCGGCTATGACGGTAACATATATATATATATATACATATATATATATATATATATCCATACATTATTCCAAAAATATAAATATTTATTTAAAACATCGTAACAAAACATTTTTCCAAATACATGCTAAATAAGTAAAATAAAATTGGGAAAATCGTTCATGTTCATAAATAACAAAATATTTCATTAATTCGTTAAAAATTCATTAACCAATAAATGTTTTTTTTTTTCTTTTTAACGAGCGTAAAATCGGTCGCCATTCTTTTAAGACAATTTCTTTTGGGGAGGGAGAGGGAAACAAAAACAAAAAAATATTTCGAAAAAGGAACGGTGAATAGTGTCAAATAGTGTGGAAATTAACACGGATTTTTTTTTCTGGATTTCTCTTCGTACAAAGGTGTATTTCATTTTGTCTGAGGCTTCTCTACTGACGTAATATCCTCGATAATTAAACATACGTTTAAGGTGAAACATGGAACCCGAATAAAACCGCAAGACGTGCAAACACACGGGAAAAGGAAATTCATCTGAGCTTCTACTTATACGTTAATACGTGCACCAAGAGAAAATGTCTACAAAAATATATATATATGTGTATGTGTGTATAATACATTTGAAAGTACCTTGTAACGGGTAATTTAACCTTTTGTCGTTAATGATTCGAATCTCTTTTATTTCATTCTCACAAACGAAGAATTGAAGTACAAAAAAGTCTTGCGGTGGGCACGGAATAAAAGTAAAAAAAAGGTTAACAATTATTTTTTTACAAGAAAAACCCGTCGAAATTGCGGATTTTTTTTTTTTATTTAAACCCCACTGACACGATTTGACGTTTCGATTAATGTGTGCGAACAATTAGAAAAATGCTTGATCAAAAATAACGAACGACACGTTTTTAATGACATTCTTTTTATCTTGTACTTTTATAAATCCAGTGTACCCGATTTTATATATTTATATTTCTTGAAAAATAATAAATAAAAAAGAAAGAAAGAATTATTAGATGAGATTAAATTGATTATCCGGAAACATATCAGGTAATGGTATTTTCTGATTTTAGAAAAGAAATAGAAAGATAATGCACGTATTTCGTATATAACTAAACAAAGTTAAACATATTTTTCTCGGGGACAAGAAGGAAAGTCAAAACTTTTATAAAGACAAAAACATTTTATCCGTTTCTTTACTTTTCTTTTTTTCCTTTTCAGTCTTTCTCGTTCTTCATTTATGTAATATAACACACCACAAAACTCGAAACACTCTTGTAAGTAGATATAAAAAAAAAAAACAAATATCAAAAAAGAATGAATGAAAACAAGAAATAAAAGATGAGGGAAGAAAGGGAGATAGAAAAATCAAAGTATGGATAAAAGAAATGTAAAGTATTATAACGTACTTTTTTCTTTCTTTTTTTTTTTTCTTCTTCTTTTTTTTATAAGATAAGACCAGGAAAAATATACTTAAGACTATAATACAAAAGTAGATCTATTATGACTGAAAATATTTCCTATGACATTTTCTCTTACTAACTTTTTAAAACTTGAAAACCGAGCAATACACTGAAAGACGTACAAGACATCAGGGAATATGAAATAATAAGAGGACCTATTGTGAACTCGCAAAAATGAATGAAAGAGAATTCATGAACGTCATTTTTCCTCAACTAAGCTTCAAAATTACAAAGAAACATTACATATTCATGCATATGTGTATATAAATATCTAAGTGTGTGTGTGTGTGTTTGTGCATTAATCTACGTTGCATTCTATTATCAAACATAATATTATTCTCTAACAAAGAAACTGATTAATTAAAATCATAAATATTGATTTTTCCACATAATGGGAACAATAAATTTCTAACGCAACGAAATCTAAGAAAACGTTATTATCAACAATAATTAATATCACGGTTCGAACAACCTAACCGATAAACATAATATTCGTTCATTAAGGCTAACAACGTTAACTCGTATAATTTGTTTTTTTTCGCGATATTACGTCGCAATTAAAACGCCACATTAAAATACCCCCAGGATGAAAAGATTATTTTTTTTTCCTTCCGAGCCTTCGATTAAAAAAAAAAAAAAAAACAAAAACAAAAGAGAACAAAATTGCAATTATTTTCCATACCGTATGGATGTTCACAAAAATAAAACACAGACACACACACACACACACACGTACATACATTTCATTGGGCTTTCTTCTTATCGTTCATTTTCGATTTTGTTTTTTTTTCTTTTTAGAAATAGATTGAAAAAATATCCTATCTTTGTATAATATTATTTAAAAAAAAAAACATAAAAAATATGATATAATGAACTAACAATAATTAATTAATTCACAATACTGTAAATATATTTCTTTGAATTCTTATCATTTTCGTTGATAACGAGACGAGTTGGAAGAAAACAAAGAGAGAGAGAGAGAGAGAAGGAAAAAAAGAAAAAATGAGAAATACATACGCATTTCTATGACGAGATTGACAACATCTAACTGGGATATTAAACGAAGGATCACACATTGAGTAGGTATAACGAAGCCCCATAATCGATGTTGTTACGATATCAAGTTTCACGGACACATTCATTGACATCGAATGTTATTATCGTTAATGGAGAAAAGTCAGAACGTGCGACATAACGTTAGAAAGAACGCGTCAAAACGAACAGGGGGGAAAAGGAGATCGAACTGACAATGAGAGCACTCTAAACTCTTTCTCACTCTCTCTCTCTCTCTCTTTATCCATATACGGTTCAACTAACCTCTATATATGTTACAAAGGAGACGAGAGGCATAATAGAAAGCTTTCACAACAAACTTTCATCGGCCGATGGATATATGGCACTCGTAGTATTGTGCATTTTAATGTCGATAGAAATGGTAATGGCTGTCGATGTTATATCGTAGAAAGTGAGAGAGAGAGAGAGAGAGAGACTGTTATTTTCTTTTTCTCTTAAAGAATTATCTTTTTATTGAAATTAATCGAATTTATTTTTTACTTTCTATCTCTTTCTTTACGCGAATTTATATATTTTATGATAAAGCAAACATTGTCTAATTTTTGTGTTAAGTTATTAGTATTTTAATGTATATAATTAATATTTTATAACAAAATGTTATACTACGTAATATAATTGATTTTTTTTAGTTATAATAACAGTAATTTGTAATAATAAAATGTGTAATTCTTATGCAATCTTTTTTTTTTATCTACTTAACACATTGAAGCTTATCTTACGAAGAAATAGATACTGAATTTGAAATTAATTTTTACAGAGTGTGATCGTTGATCTGATTTCATCTATGTTTTGTTAGAAATTAGACAAATGTAGAAAATAAATAAAAATATGACAAGTAGAATATATCAACGTTTAAAACATACATACATATTGTAAAAAGAAAAATAATTTCACAATAACTTGATTATTTATTTAACATGCAAACACTGATCAAATAAACAGAATAGATAAGATTAAATAATAATAACGTAATTGAATATTATATTATAAAATGATACTCACCACGTCGATAATTTGCTGCAACGTAATCCCAAACTTGACTTCCAGTGGTTCACTCTCATTGGCAACTGGACGTTCCAAAGTATTGTAATTTGATAATAAGTTATTTAATAATCGTTTTTCGTGTTCTCCACCGTGGCTCTCTGTAACATAAAGCATACAAAATTAAATGAAACATTAGTTCCATAACTTGACGTTCATGTAAACGTATTAAAATAAAAACATACTGTAATTTATCTGAAATCTGCAATTTATAAAATATTGTACGTGTAAATTTGAAACGATTGTATCAGTAAATCATTTCAATAAAACGAACAAAAAGAAGAGTGGCTTCGAGATAAAAAAAAAATAAAAATGTCGAGATAAAAAGAATGGAAACCGGACTTCCCATCCGCTTTTTTTTGCTTTTTTCTTTTTGTTTCTAGACGAGCATAGAAAAATGCAGCTCTTTTGAAGAAAAATTATTCGCCTTGGTAATGACCAAAAGCTAAAATAATTATTCTCTTAGAGAGAGAGAGTTGACCGCATTCGCATAATAACTTTTTTACGATTAATAAAATATACGAAGATAAAAATCACGTATGAATGTGTACAGACAATAGAAAGAAGATATTAAAATGTTAAGAAAAGAAAAAAAAAAAGAAGAAATGTAACTTTTCTATGTTTTTCCAAGTTCATTCTAGATATTTCTTTGTGTGTTTCATTTCCTATTCATAGAAAAACTCGAAGGGAGACACTTGTTGCACACATCTCTCTCTCTCTCTCTCTCTCTCTCTGTACACGTTTAAAACAACATAATTATATTATATTACATTATCATATTAACAAATTTCATATAGATAAATTAACTATATTGTTTGTATTTTACAAAGAGTTTCAAAATTATTATCACGTGCTAATTGCAAAATGGAACACACATTTTCAAATAAAATGATTGAAGGAGAATTTTAATATCGATTAATTTTTGTAATTTATCAAATGCGAGAGTATATGAATTCCATTTAAAAGTGTTGTTCACATTGGTAATGCTTATTACGGGCAAAATGAGAAAAAAAAAGAAAAATGAGGGAACTGTCAGGAACAAGCAGAAAAAAAGAAAAAGAGGGAATGAGAGAGAAATAAACAAACAGAGACAGGATACAATTAATGGCCACGCCCCTTCCACCCTCCCCCAACCAGTGAGATCTAAATCCTACATAGGCTCTTACAATCCTTCTCAAAGATAAAAGCCATATGAGAAAAATCACCGAACAATATTTTATTTCCTAAAAGGATGAAACTATATCGATCTCTGTTGGCACAATAAATCGATAAATCTAGTATTACGAGCAATATCTTTACGACCTAACTAAAAGACCTTAATAAAAGTACAAAATGTATCTAACAACGAGTAACAAATCAAGATAAAAAAATCGCAAAAGATACTTTAATAAAAATCATTTTCATATAGATATTGTTTATGTAAAATAATATTTCATTTTAATAATGATAAATAAATAAATATTGATTTTTGTCATATTTATAAATTTTCATAATTTTCCATCAGCGTTAATACTATTCATTTCAAAAAATATTCAAAAATATGAAAGAATTAGTTTATAATTCGAAGGAATGTTTTAGAGTAATAATACATTAACAAACAATTAGTATTTCGAATCAGTTCGAGTAGCTTATATATATAGAGAGATGGATATACACGATTAGTAATACATACCTCAAAACAATTTCGAAACTGTATCAACTTAACCGAAATTTGCGAAACAATGTGAATACTACAGTATATTATATTCTCTCTCTCTCTCTCTCTTTCTCTCTGGTATTGTAAATCGATATAGACATTTTCATGTGTAAATTGTCTGTGCAATGTACACTGTACTAATTTATTGCTTAAAAGCAATAGTTAAAACAAGAACGAGAGAGAGAGAGAGGGAAAGAGAGAGAAACTAACAGGAGTTAATCCTTGAACAGAGTTTGTAGAACTCTATTCAACCGAATCGAACAAAATCGTGTTCAGGTTTGAAGCAATGAAAGCAAAGCTTCTAGAGATCGAACGTGAAATGCAACAGGATTGTGTGTAGTACGTTTGTGTCGTTTCAGGTGTAGCATAATGGCTTTCCTTTGTCCATCCTTTATGAAATTCCTAGCACGTGCGACTATCGAAAAGGAAAAGGAGAGAGAAACAGAGAGAGAGAGAGAGAGAGAGAGAGAGAGAAAGATACAGAAGAGAAGGGAAACGAAGGTGTGAATGGATGTTAAAAAGAAAAAGAGATAGGACGAAATATCGTCAGATACCAATCCAGGATCATGAAGGTACTACACAAGAAGAAACTTCATACAGATTGAATTCTCTGTCTCTCTTTCTTTTAGACTATCCTCTATATGTTCCTTTTATCTGTTCGGTATTCCGAAGCCAAAGTTCGTACGTGAAGTAACCGAGCTACCAAATTGTCCTACAAAATTCACCATCCTGTGCAATCCGCCGATCGCGAAGACCAACCTTTTCGGTTTGTGATCACGTATACGTATCTCGTCCAGTCAAAATTGAACAATCTCTCTATGAGAGATATGAAGTGAAATAAGACGAGAGACTCGAGTCACGCGATACGTGTCCTATCTATTCTTTCACATATCCTTTATATATGTCATATTAAATATATATGTGTGTCAAGAAAATTGTAGAAGAAATTTTGGAAGAAAGGTATTCCTTTATTAATTCACGAACAAATCACTTTTTGGAAATATATATATATTCAAAATGCGTGTCTGTAATATTTTTATGAATCACGGCCAGTATTAAGTGTGTATAGAAAAAAAAAAAAAAAACTACTCTTAATTATTTCAGCTAGGATTTCGTTATTATTATCAATTGCAATATTTTTTATTTCTTTTTTTTTTATAATAATTTACTTCTGATCAAATCCAGTAAAAAAATATATTTATAAAATTAGTTGTGTGTTTCTCTCGCCCAAAAATAAAATTATTAATAAAAAGTTATCTTAGGGAATTTGGACATTCAAAAAAAATAGAACTTCGTTTTGATAATTTGGACGTTTCGTCCCTTTATTGGGACTTCTTCAGCAACTGGAAATTTTATTTTATTGTTATATTTTATATTACGAATTACATGAGACCCATACATTATAAAATATTAGATGTTACCTTAATCTCTAAAGTTCAGCGTCTTTTTTATTTAAGCAGACATACATTTTTCTTTTTTTTTATTTATTTATAATATTCAAAACACTATACATTTACACTTCGTTAAGTCTTGATTTTGATATTTATTTGATATTTATAAAATTTGTGATTGGCCCTGTTGCCCTCATCTAAATTCGTCGTTGCAACGAACAATCAATATTTGATATCATTTATGTATACATATCAATGCATTTTAATGCATGTTAGTTAATACTTCTAAACAATGTCGCAATTCAATTTAGAAATAATATAGTATACTGTGAATCATGGAATTTAATATATCACATATATGTACATATAAACGAAATGGATTGAAAATATAATAATTTATGAAAATCTCATGACAATTTCATAGAAATTTTGATAGAAAATTCATAAAGACGTTTTTGATGTAACCTTTTTATTTCTATTCCATAACTTGGAAAATATTGATAGGCTTACTACAATGTATACTATCGACGAGCTAGTATATAACAGAAAGATAGAGTATTAAAAGTAGTACGAGTTTCAAGGTTGTTCTAACGGGTAAGAATTAAGTACCGCGAAAATGGCCCCAACGAGAAACTGGGACGAGAAGGTTCCTTCTTGAAAGTCTCGATGTATGAAATGCACTACGTAACTCGAAGTAGGTAGGTAAATATGTAACTGTACCTATCTATACTTTAAAAGAGAGAGAGAGAGAGAGAGAGATCGTTTATATAGATCATATAATAAGGAACTCGGCCAAGTTTTTTCTCAATTTTTTTTCTTCTTCTTCTTCTTCTTCGTTTTTCTTTCAACTTCCACCACCTCTTCCCTCCTATTCCTCCTTCTCGATCACCTTGTAAGATACAAATTGAGATTCTTTTTAAAAGATGAACGTCGATGCACCGACACTTTGCGAAATATTTATTCGTTTACAAAATTCATTCGTTAAGCCGCTCGTATTTCTCTGAGCCGACGCGATAAATTCTTTCGGACGTTAGTATGAGAAGGATAAAATATTACCGGCTCGAGCATTATCGTAACCTGTTCAATTATTAACAGAAGCTCGGTATTCCAAAGGTAACTACCATGAAGATTAATTTCGGAATATTGACCGAAAAAAAAAAATAAGAAAAAGGGAAAGAGAGAAAGAGAGAGAGAGAAGGAATAACCAAACTGAGTAAACTAATTTGCTGTCATTTCACTTTTACTTACTTGGTTATAAATAATAAATAAGATGGGGGCCGCGTTATATTACGTTCGGTTAATAAATAAAAAGGCAATTTTTTTTATTAAGATTTATTTTTTAATATTTTAATATATATATATATATATATATCATATTTATTTATTATAAATAGATTATTAAATTTTTAATATTTGTGTATTATTAGAAATGAGTTATAAATTTTGACCGATCACTATACATCTTAGATCATGGTGGGTTAGATTACCTATACATTGAACTAATTAATTAATCCTAACAATTAGATCTAATTATACGTAAGTTTTCGAGCACTATTAGAACACGCGCCTCTGTTTAATAGCGAATTAAACACGGCCGAGTTACGAGTATTGTTTCTCCATTCGAAAATAGAAAACCTAGACAAATGGAATATAGGGTTAACTGTTAATTCATTTGTATGATTAAGGGCAAATTGATACGAACGAATTTATTTGTTCCTTTTCGAAAGGAATTATCCACACACCACTTTCGAGTTGGATATTATTTGATTACTTATTCTAATCGAATTGCACAAAACTTTGATATTAATTATGTGTCACAATAAATGGTATATTTCGCGATAATCATTTTAAATAATTAAAAAAAAATAAATTGAATATTAATATATAATTGCGGCTCCTTAAATTTTTTTCTTTTTTTTTTTTAGATATTTTATTGAAATAGCACTTCGTTTCTAAAAAGTTTCCCAATACCTGATCTATCCACCAATGCAACGTCAAATCGTTCCTTTTCAAT